CCACTTTCCATTAGGTGGGCCATCAGCTTGTTTTCCATTCTATATATTATAAAAAAAAGAAGGCTAAATAAAACAGTAAACACAGAATTACACTGTTTCACCAATCCAATAAAAAAACGATGTAGTAAACTATTTGGTATGGATAGGTGAAATGTCAACCACGTAAATATGAAATTGTTACGTGGATCTCGCTCATACAGTCCATTTTGCGTTGAAATTTTAAAACCTAGTTACTTCTCTACAAAATTTCAAAGCTATTTCAATTTTCCCTGAGTTTATCACTTCAGTCACGTGCACGTGTATGGATTAGCGTTGCACAAATGCAATCTCGTATACTGACTTTAGTATTTGACACACGTTACATAGCTATTTGAATTTTGTTACGTTTCTTTGGTAACCTTGAGATTAAAATATATAGGTAAAATTCATATCTTTTTATTGCCGTTTGACTTATGATACCATTACTGAAGTTCAGTTCCATTTAGTGAAAGAACATGTAAAATAATAAAAATAAAACAAAATCTATTTCCATTTTATGTTCCTTTTTTGTGTGAGTAGAGAGCAGTAAAACAGTATGTTATTTGTACAGTAAGTAAGTAAGTACTTGTTATAAGTACCCGTAACCGGCGAGCGTGTATGACAAGATTGATGAATGTGGAAGAAGCGAAAGAGGTTTGTTTGAATCGAAGCATTTGGCGTTCCATTGTTTCTGCCTACCCTAATGGGAGACAGGCGTGACAGATATATATATGTATTAAACTAAAATATATAGATATTGCAATATATCCCTACACTTATACACCCCTACTTTACATTTTTTAATCTAATAGTCCTTGTATTTTTGTCTTCATAAAATTTCTACTGAGAATCTAGTATGATGAAAATATGAGATAAAGTTATTGATTTGTTATGAAGTTAGGTAACCTGTGCCTGGAAATATTTTTCTTCCTGTTTCAGATTTTGTCGTAAAACGAAATTACTCTTTCTTTACGACTTTTTTGTTCTTAGAATTGTTGTTGTTGTAGAACTTGTTGAAAGGAGGCGCAAATCCTAACCATAAATATTTCTGATAAATTGTTTTACTTGTTATATCTATGTATTTCACAAACTTGTATATTTTATTTCGCTTTTTCCTCCTCTATATTTTTTTTTATTTCTGTTAAAACCAACAAACATAGAAAATCAATGCCAAAGATTAAAAACACTTAGTTTTTTGGCAGTTGTAGCAAAAATATACAGCAATATTAAAATACCGTGTTTTATAATTAAAGTATCGCCATCTGTGATACGGTAGCAAGACAACAGATCTTAAAGAGTAAATACTTAACGCCATCTAACGTCTGATAGCTATTATTACTGGAGTGAAATAATTTCACCGACCAAGGTAGTAAGTAGTAGGAAAAGCCTTGATAAATATTTGATTTCAGTTGTTTGTAACAGAGGGCAATAAAATAGAAAATGTGAACGTTTCTTATTCATTTTACTGCTCATGATCATTGTATGTCTCTATACTAAGATTTAAATTTCATCTTAAGGTTGACTAATAGAGAATGTATTAAGTCCGCCTTTTATACCAGACATTTTTTTGTAACATGGTCAATAAAGAATAAATAAATAAATAAATTACGCAGAAATACTTATTTATATTTTTAAAGAAATTAATTTATAATGAATTTTAGTTAAAAAATATTTGAAATTTTATACTCAATATTTTATAATTTTTCTCAAACATGCTTGGAAATGTGAGCATTATTTTGACAATCTTCTTCGAGATAAATCAAAATTGCCGTACTGGCCAGATACATGCGGACAGCGGCCGGCAAAAGTTGTATGAAAATCCATATCTGTCGTTTTTTGCGGCCAGATAAATTACAATGTAAACTCATATCTGTCTTGTAATTTAAAAATGGAGTGACCTTTTACTTCGAAACATGGCTACCAAGGAGGTAACTAATAAAAAGTTTTATTTAAATTTCGAACAGGCTTACAAATAGAAAGCTTTATTTATTGAAAAAAAAAAACAAATGAACATTATGGCGCGTGAAAAATTATTATTGTTCGTCATTCGTCACTGAACTTAAAAAGTAAAATTGTGTTTTTGATTTCCACGCATTGTTTGAGAAAAGTACTATACAAGCCTTGGTCACAACTAGGCATTGATGGACTTACGTATGTGTGCTTCGGCTACGCCTCGGCCCACGTTCGTCCATCAATGCCTGAGTTGCTGGCCGCTGCAGTAATGTACTATAATATTTTTCTTTAAACTTAAGATTGAGCCCAATATTATATTATGAAGAGAGAGTATGAAGATTTACTTCAAAATAATCCTCGGCTCGCCATTGACAGGGAGTTCACTCTCCCTACTGCCTAGATGGTCGCGTACAACGCGGTTTCAGAGATGTTTTCTCCCACGAACACTCAAGTTATGAAATAAGCCGAGGTTTTCCCAAGAGATCACAGCATGGGGTTCTTCAAAAGGGGGTAAAAAGGTGTCTTCAGGGTCGGCAACGTGTGGGTAATATCTCTAGTATTGGAGGCGTTCATAGGCTACGGTAACCACTCACCACCAGGTGGGCCATATGCTTGTTTGCAACTTCAGTGGTATAAAAAAAATCCTTTCTAATGATAAAAAACTTGATCCCTCAGATCATTCCGAGTTATTTATTTTCTGCATATGTTGCATTTATATTAGACTTCATAACATCATAATCCCCTTTAAAACCAGCTATAAATAATAAAAGTAACCATAGCACAGTAAATGGTATTTCTATACACATATATCGCGTCGATAAAAACCATTCAGTGTCGAATATCAGATTAAAAGGGAAATTTATTACTTTTTGGTAGCAGAATTCGGTTTCACACTAGATTATGTCGGATTTTACAAAATTATTGTCATGTACTGAATCTAAAATGCTATTTATTATTATAATAAACTGTATTATCACCTAAATATTTTTACGAAATGAAAAGATTTATCTTTATGTTTGTAAATAAGTAATAAGATAAATTAAAAAAATACTCAATCGCTTTTTAATTTTATTTACCTTATAGAAAGCTACATTAGCAGCGAGTAACATGGGCTTTATTATATTGTTTTTAAATTGTGATCTACAAAAAAGCCGAATTTAATTGTAGTAAACCCGTTTATTTTTATATAAAAAATAAACTACTTGATTTTGGATTAATTTTCTATAGGACCAATCTGTGATTATAATCTTTTAGACAAAAAGATATATATATATATACATATATATATATATATATATGGTCTCGGCATAGAATAGGCTACCCATTCCACTTGAATGTCATCAGATGTGACTAAAGGAACTTAATAGTCGAGAGATAGGCAGCTGCGTCCTTCTTAAAACATCACCAAAACTTAACTGTGGTTATCAACCTGCCTGCGTTATCAATCGTAGCAAACTATTAGCAATCCCCCCCCTTTTGGAGGAGGCCTATGTTCAGCAGTGGACAGTAGATAGCTGATATGTTGACACTATCATCTGAAATTATTAAAGTTATAAAAAAGAATATACATATTTATAGGAGACAATGCCACAGAAGAAATAAAGATATAAAATGGCAACACTTGTGGTACAATGGGCGTCACAGTGTATTTTGTGATATCCATGGTACACGTCATAACTATAAGCTACAGTTGCCATCGAGTGAACTGTTACCTATTACATAATCTTCATTAGAAAATCGTAAAAGTTTATTACCACCAGAGTAGGACAGCTTAAAACTAAATACCATGCCACGCCATCTGGTCAATATGTTAAGATAGCGAAAACTGAAATTACCTCGACGGAGAATCGAACCGTACATTTTACAAAGTATCAAGTTCATTACGCATCAGAGGTTCTCAAAGTAGTTAAGCATACCATCTATTACTGTCACAAACATGAAATAATTCAAAGAAGTAATACCATACAAGGTTAGACATGGTATTCATTAAATAAATAATAGTACAAGTGTAGTACAAGAGGCTATTATGACATTAGCTATTACGCAACCTTTAGAATTGTAAACAGAAATTCTCATTCATCACTCTATAAACAATCACTTAGGAAAATCGGACAGTTCGAGATATTAATTTAAGCAATAGGAAACAAAGAGATACACCCATGATGTACAGGTGTATCTGTACACACACTGTACACATACACACACACGCACGCACGCACGCACGCACTCACGCACGCACGCACGCACGCACGCACGCACGCACGCAAACACGCACGCACGCACGCACGCACGCACGCACACACATATAAATGAAAAAATTGATGGCCATTCAAGAAATACAAAAACCTATAGCTGAGCCATGTACTTGTGATAGGGCATTTCGTCATTTGTTGTTTGTTGTCGGTCAACCTTCGTTGCCGTCCTAACCGAATGCCTTTCAAATATATGGTGTATTAAATTATAACCTTTCTTTCTAAAATAATTTTATATCTAGTACTAACAGAATAGATCTTGTTGTCTGGCAATAAATGGATTTGAATTTAAGTAAAAAAAATACAGTCGAGCATAGAACCTCCTACTATTTTAAAGGTTAAAAAATAAAATAAATATTTTCTGTGAAATTATTAATTAAACAAAAAAATCATACGCATTATTAAAAAGTTAATCAAATTTTTAGATACTGAGCTCATATGACACTATGACAGATAATGAAAATATTTGATACTAGTTTTACTGCCCACGACTGCGTCCGCGTGACTTGGTTCACTGGCCGTGTGTATACCAAACGTGGCGTTTGGTTAACACGCTAAGAGGTAACAGACAAACTCACTTTCACATTTATGATATTAGTAAGGATTTTCGAATGCATATAAGATCTTATTGATCTTTGAATACAACACTCGAATTAAACACAAGTGCCACATCCATATGAAATGCGCTTCCGAAATTGATCAACAAGACATCATTAAGCTATTCTACTCCTTAACGCCCACTTAATTGAGCTCACAATCAAATATTCACCAAATGGCATGTTTATGTTACGATAAGTGAAAGTCAGAGATCAGCTTTTGAGTCTCACGCGTCAGTTACGTTAAAGACACCAGGGACAGTGTTTGCATCAATAAAACCGGGTAAGTATTTTTAAAGATTTAGCTCCTCATTCGAAGAATGATCAAATCTATCATATAAGGTATTGAACTATTTCATCTCTTTCTTTTTTGCTGAATTCTCAGTTTGAACGAAAGTGACAAAATAGTGTAGTAATTAAAACAGGTTTTAGTTTTTATGACTAAGGGCGTCTTTTGTTACATTTTTTTTTTAATTCTTTGACTGATGAATAAGCAATCTCAATAAATTATGTTTTGTATACACTATGACATTTTGTAATTTTTGAACAATTATTAATATTTAAAAAAAAAGATGCAAAGAATAAATAAGTGAATTCATTTCCATTAGGCTACAAGGCTATTTTCCATTATTAGGTCCAAAGAAAAATAAATTTATACTAACTGTAACTTATGACTTTTCTTGCATAAAATAGATTAAAAAGTAAGCAACGTTGTTATCAACTTATAATAGGTTGAAAAGTGTATCATTTAAGAACGAGTGGATCAATTCGTATAATCATATTTAGAAAAGAAAAAAATAAATTTATATCTTCATTAAAAAAAAAGAAAAATTAATAAGAATAAGAAGCTGTAATTATTTATCTATTGAATAAAAACCAAATATACACATTTACGATTAAAATTAATATAATTGTATTTTATAATAATTTTAATAAACAACATTTTTTACATCTATTTTTTGCCGTGTGGTCCCAGTACAAATGGGTGAGCTCTTGCTTTACTGTGGGTGTCGTAAGAGGCGACTAAGGGAATTTAATAATCGAGGGATGGGCAGTAACGTCCTTCTTAAAACATCACCAAAACCTAACTGCGGTTGCTGACTCACTTGCCAAGCATGACAACGAATGCCAATATCCTTAAGGGGGAGGCCTATGTTCAGCAGTGGACAGTTTACGGCTGGTATGATAATAATGATGTATCTTTTTTATACATTTTTTTTATACAACTTAGAATGGTAAACAAGCTGATGGCCCACCTGATGGAAAGTGGTAACCGTCGCCTATAAACATGAGCAGTACCATGGACATAACAGAGTATACTGTTTCGCCCATGATACCCCCCATGCGTTGCCATTTCTGAGAACTCAGGTGTTTTTCCTTCGTACCCAGTAAATTCACGCCATATCCCACCCTTCAAACCGAAACATAGCCATGCAAACACAACTGCTTCACGGTTGAAACACGAATGGGACAGAGGTACCCAAGCAATGGACTTTTGTACAAAGTCTCCCTCTGGTATACATTGTAAAACAATAAGTATTTCTTTTTATTTTAGAAATAAAAATGGTTCTAACCCTATACAAATTGGACGCAAGCCCGCCAGTTCGCGCCGTGTATATGACTATTGAAGCCCTAAATCTTTCTGATGTACAATACATAGACACGAATTTATTCAAAGGGGAGCATCTCACAGAAGAATTTATACAGGTGAGGTATAGATTAAAAGATTTTTAATCGACTACAAAAGGCTATTCTTAATTCGATTGTTTTTTTTTTTATATGATATTTCTGTTTCTATAGGTGAAAGAATTTAAAAAAACGAGTTAAGTATTTTCGAGCTTATTCATTGCAAACAAAAAATTAAATCTTTCCTCTTTTAATATTAGTTTAGATTATACTAGTAGTATTTTACCAAATAAACAGAGTGAAATATTATATGTAAAAATTTGTGAGCGTTTATTAAATCTCTTTATTATTTATTTATTTATACAACCACCAATATAAGATACAGCGAAGCATTTCAATACAATGCACTAGTGAATTAGGTTTAATTGTTTTTACATGTAGAGGCAACCACAGCATGCTTTGTGTTTGAGAAACATAAAAATTGAATTAAACTAATACATGTTATTAAATGAATAAAAAATATTAAGAAAATGAAAAATTATGAGGAGTTTTGTCTTCTAATTCTTGAAGTAAATGGTAAACATGTCTTGTTATGGCATGCAAAAAAAGTTAAATCATACTTTGCTATGCAAAAAAAAAACAGCTTCAATGCTCTCAAAATTAATTTATAAACAAAAAGATCATACAGAACTATCAAAATTTACTCAAAATTAACGAAGCAGTTGTGTAAAATAGCCACAAAAAATAGAAGAGAATATCTATAAGGGAACTAAAACTTTTGAAATTCTTTCTCTTTTAATAAACTATGATTTTTTTATTATAAATTTAAAAATATTAAAATTTTATTCGCCATCAATAAATAATTGACAAAAATTATAATAAACATTTTTATATTTATTTTGATTTAAGGATAACTCTATAATTGATATTTCAAGATATATCATCAAAGCAGCTAAATCGATTTAAAATCGTTGTAAATATTGAAATCTATTTTTTTTTTCAGATGAATCCTCAACATACTATTCCTACGCTAAAAGAGGACGACTTCGTTATATGGGACAGGTAAATAATACAAGTGTAGTACTTACTATATCACAGTTGCAGACATTTTTCCAAAAGCTGTTTGAATGGGAGAGAGAAAAATAAGGTTTTTATATTTACACGGGCATTTTTTTTTTAATTTTCTCTTCATAAGAATATTCCGCGAACATTACAACATATTTGAAAAAAAATTACCTTAATTGTTCTTTAACTAGTCATTCCCCAGTTTTGTGCTTAGCAACATATTTAGTGATTCACATTTATTTTATATAGATGCAATAAACGAAGATATGCTTCCATAGGAAACGAATTTAATTTTAATAAAATTTGTGTGAAAACATAATACGGGAATAAATTCTTTCGATTAAAAATAATCATCAAAACCGGAAATAAAATAAAAAAGAAATTAATTTGTGTTTTTTGTTTCACAAAAAAAAATCCAACTTCAATTGTTTACCACAATTGAATCAGTTATTTTAATTTAAAAACTAAAGTATTTAATCGATTTTGATAAAATATCTAAAGGACCTGTAATCATATGCTTTATATAATTTAGATAAGGAATGAATTTTTTCAAATTGGTTTACCACTGATAGAGTTATGAGGTAACAAACATAAAAAATACAATCGAATTGAGAAGCTTTTTCTTTTTAATGTCAGTTGGAAATATAGCAAAATTGAGGGCCAGTTTGTTAATAACTTTATTACTAAAACATTAATATTTTTTTTATTCAATATTAAGCCACGCGATCTGCGGATATCTGATAGCGAAGTACGGCAAAGACGACTCACTTTATCCGACCGAGCCTAAGCAGAGAGCAATTATCGACCAGAGATTGCATTTCGATAGCGGCGTATTATTCCCAGCCATTCGTGGAACTTTAGTGAGTATTTTTGTATTTTTTTTTTTATCTGTATACTTTTTATAGGTCCTAGACATAGCATATAGCACTAATTGAACATAGCGTAGCTTGTATTACGGGTAAAACTACTAACTAAAGTTGGGGAGATAGGTATTGTTAGTAATGGGGTCTAACAATCCCGTTGCGGGAGGGAAAGGGATTGTTAGTAATGGAGACTAAGAATCCCATTGCTAGCAATATATCCAACCAGGTCGACCTCCTCGCGGTTCCCCCTGGAAACTATCATGATTAATTCCTGATGAATTCATCATGATGGGCTAACTGGCCTGTTTTTATCCTCATCGATCATCCTTCACTGGTGCCCCGCCAGCGTATCCCATTAGCGCAGGCGGGGTTACCACTCCATTTTCATCCAATAAAAAAAAATCCCGTTGCTAGCAATATAGATAGATAGATACTGTTTATTGTTTCCTCTTAAAGATTATTATCCAGTAGTAAACTTATTATAAATTCAAGCAATTACAAGAAGTGATCACAGTGAGATAACAATATATCCTTTTAGATCGATCTCTCGCAGTTCTCCTGGAAACTACTGTGGTTAGTTCTTGTGAAATTCTTCACGTTGGTTTAACTGATCTGCTTTCTTTTTTACCTGTCAATCCTCTCTTATCATCTTTCACCTTACGGTACCTTACCGGCGTATACCGTTAGCGCAAATGGGGTTACCATTCCATTATCATCCATTAAACACTTCATGCACATAATAATATTTTTTAAAGACGTGTAGAACAATATATCGTAAGATTCCCGAGAGAATTCTGTAGTACACACAGGTTCAGGCTTAATACAGATTAGTTATCTCTAAACTTTCGCAAGGACTTATTAAGATAAGAACCTAATTGAATTAGCAGTACAGTATTTCTTGTGAGTACTAAATAAAGATTTATATTTAGCTTTTAATCGCGACTTCGTCCGCGTAACCGAGATATTACGTTCATTGGCCAAGATAAAAAGTAGCTCATATCTTTCTCCATTTTATGTAGTAACTACGTCTATTTCTTCGGTAGGATATGGCACCCATATCCTATCGAAGGTTAGCTTTCATCATGGAAATCTTTATTTTGTCCACCGCGATCCTGGAAAAAGATCTGGTGCTCATTCCGAACCACTGACTTAGATTTTTTGACCAGGAGATTCGGCATCTTCCAGATCTTCGGCAACCTTATATTAAGCCTATATTAACTATGTCTATATCAATTTTTAAAGCGATTAATTAAGCTGTTAAGGCGCCAAAAGGTGGCAAGCGATGTATTTTATATTATCATTTCGTGAAAGCATTTGTTTTGATACCTTTGAGCCAAAAGTCTTATTCTATCTCATGAAAAATTGTACCTTAATTCTATTTCAGGAGCCTATACTTTTCCATGGACAGAAGTACATCAAGGATGAAGACATTGTGAAAATAAACTCTGCATACACTCTGATAGAGAAATTCTTTACCGCACCGTGGCTGGCTGGTGATGAGTTGACGCTAGCTGACATCTGCTGCGTTTCTAGTATCAGTACTTTAAATGAAATCGTACCGATCAACGGAAGCTTGTAAGTTGTTAGGTTTAAATTCTCTCGTTAAGGAAAAACTAGGTGTCATGTCAACATGACGGTCAAATATATAGCCTGGAATAGAGCTGGCTGGAAGAGAATACACGAATTAGTTGCCTCAAGAAGATGAAACTCTAAAATAAAAAAGGGAGGGAAATGAGTAGTTCTAAAAGCCCCATTGCTAGTAATATACCTTTATAAGTGGAGATCTCTCCATACGGTTCTGGAAGCCATCGTAGTTAATACTCATTCAATTGTTGACGATGGGCCAACTGACCTGCTTTCATCCACACGTATTATCACTCACTGGTTCCATGCCAGTGTATAATGATAGCGAAAGCGGAGTTACCATTTAATTTTAATCTCGTAAAAAAGCCTTCTCGTTATTGTAAAAGAAATAAGCTCACGACTATACCAAATGATCATAATGACGCTTATCTAAACGGTATTTCAACGGTTGATAACCAACATTTCGTAACTGATATTTATAAAATATTTATTAAACATTCCTTTTAACTTTTTTACTTCCTTTCCTATATTATATTTGCGCACTCATTAATTTAGGTTCCGGCATAGAATGGGCCACCCCTTCCTTTCCCGTGGGTGTCGTAAGAGGTGACTTAGAGAAGTTAACCGTCGAGAGGTCGGCAGCAGGATCTTTCTTAAAATAACACCAAAACCTAACTGCAGTTGCCAATTTGCCTGCCAAGCCTGACAACTACCGGCATAATCCCCTATTAGGGGGAAGTCTATATTCAGCAGTGGACAGTTCATGGCTAATATTGTATTGTATGTACATACGAGTATATTTGGTAACTTTTAAACGGCTTACTGTTGTTATATATATTTAATTATTAGGTTATTATAACTGTAATCTTCCCTCAAGACAAATAAATAAATAAATTGCCATAGAAAAAAAAAGCAGGTACGAAGTAATATTATTTTATCTATGATATTAATTTGTACATCATTATTTTCAGAACTGATATTAAAATAAACTAAATTACTATTCGGTTCCATCATATTAAGAGTAGAGTTAAAATTGGGATCTTTTCTATGTCTCTTATAAAGTTTTGTTGACGAAATATTTGCGGTTAACCATCGATTTATTGACTGTTCACGTTGTGGCGGACGTAATACTTAACATGCCTTCCTTTAATGCCTTATGTAATTTGTATTGTATACCTCGGCTTATACATTGTAATTAACAATACTAATAGTTGTCTTACATATATTTATTTATTTATACTTTATTTTACAAAAAAATATATTGTTATAATTTATTTTGAATAAAGATGTATAACAGGTGTGCTTAACTCCACAAGAGTTCTCTTTCAGCAAACCTTGAGTGGTAAGAAGCATTAATCACCAATTAAATTAAATAAATAATATATATCTATCCTAATATTATAAAGAGGAAACCTCTGATTGTTCGTAATGGACAAGCTCATAAATTACTCCATCAATATTAAAATATATTTCACCTGTAAAAAGCTACGTTATCAGTGAATTACATTCCTACTAATATTATTAATGTAAATGTGAGTTTGTTTGTTAGATTATAACGCCTTAATGGCTTAACCAATTATTATAAAATTTGTTATACATATACTATCTGGGATGGAGAAGGTTATAGGCTACTTTTTATTCCAGTCAATAAACATATCCCGGTCACGCGATAAAATTTTGTGGCTATACATTATTTTTTAAAATTCTATTCACCTGTAAAGCTGGACCGTATTACTATTAATTTATGTATACATACTTTTTACAATGAATGAACATCCCTTCATTTATTATAATTAGATAAGCGATTTTGCGGAATAAACATGCAAATGATCTTAGCGAAAAATGTAAAAAAAAAAATAATATTTAGAGGTCTAAACGGGACGTACCTTTACCCTTCTTTGCATGATTTTTTTTATTGGTGAAATAAATCAAGGTGATATAATTCATGTTCAAAATTAAAGGAAAAATGGTTCAAAAAACATCAGACAAAGACAAGTTCAAAGAACGTCGCTGCCCATCCCTCGACTATTAAGTTCTCTTAGTCGCCTCTAACGACGCTCACAGGAATGGCAGGGCTGGTCTATTCTATGCTGGGACCACGTGGCGGATTAATTATTATTATTATTAAATATATCTTATATACTATACATTAAACCTAAAATTACAGGTACCCCAATCTACTGGCATGGCTGGAGCGTTGCTCCAATGAAGACATTTGCAAAAAAGGCAACGAACCCGGCTTGCTACAAATCCGTCAAATGTTGAAGTCGAAACTCGAATAAAGGGATACAATAACTACATCATCATCGTTATAAACAACTATTCACCGTCTGTTATTGAATATTCATACAATACTGGAATTAATAGTGTTCAATATAATATAGCACTTTAAAAAGGAATTTGATTAACTTAGTGAACTGTACTTATCACTAAAAATGCGAAAAATTGTAAAAATAAGATACTTAGGCTTATGAGAATAATTAAAGATAGTGTTCCACAAAAAAAAAAGACTTTAATTGTCGCAAAAACTGTTTCTTTTTATTTCAAAACGAAACTACTAAACTTATTCTGATAAAATTTCTACAGGACTAATCTGTAAGTATATACTTTTAGATAAAAAGGATTTTTCAAATTGATTCATAACTGACGAAGTTATGAAGTAACAAATATCAAAAAAATACAATCAAATTGATAACTTCCTTTTTTTAAAGTCGGTTTAAACATAATGCTACTTCAATCTTAATAAAATTAGTATAATATATACAGAAGCAATTATTTGATATACATATTTGAAGATCAGGCAATAGGTGTGATTGTGTGGCACCTTAGATTATATAGTGTCTCCGTATATCCATATGCGTGTGCGTCAACAGGGTTACTATAATGTGCATTTAGTACTCAGTAGAGACTTTGTACAAAAGTCGATTGCTTGGGTACCTCTGTCCCATTCTTGTTTCTACCGTGAAGCGGTTGTGTTTGCATGGCTGTGTTTCGGTTTGAAGGGTGGGATATGGCGTGAATTTACAGGGTACAGAGGAATAACATCTGAGTCCTCAGGAATGGCAACGCATTGGGAGTATCATGGGCGAAACAGTATACTCTGTTATGCTCATGCCTCTGGGCGACGGTTACCACTTTCCATCAAGTAGGCCGTTAGCTTGTATGCCATTCTAAATTGTACGAAAAAAAGTTAAATCGTAAAATAAAAACGATAAGAAATTAGAACTACAAACAAGATAAACAGTCCATAATAAATTTAAGGTGATGCTTATCTTTACCGATTATTTTGATTTATATCCAACTAAAAACTTATAATATGTTTCCGTTTTAAAATAATTGAAACTGGCTGCCATTTTAATTAATACATTTATATTTATTTGTATATAATACGATCATATTTATGTTTATATAATATCAGAAGAAATAATTCTGAATTCTAATTTAGGAAATTGATTTAGTCCAGAAAATGTTTAGTTTAATTACTTGCAACACTGAAAAATTGCGCCTTTTAATTTAAATGTAGGCGTCAAATTGAGGTAGCAAATATAAATGTTGTATTTATACAACATTTAAAATAATTAAAAAAATAATTTAGTAAGTGTGGTTGGAAATTAAAAAAAATGAAATAAATAATATCGAATCTAGAATAAACAAGAATACATTTAAAAAAAAAAGATATAAATATTTAAATATTTTATTAATTAAACAGAAAAACTATGGACGAAAGATAAGTATCAGTAGAATTTATAGGTTATTATATTCCCTTGGTCTATCCTTCTTTTCACAAGAAGACGAAGAATACCAAAATAAAAATAAAAATATTTCAATTAAGATTATTGAGATTTAGATATTATCTAGTTATCACATCTTTCTTAAAACATTACCAAAAATCTAACTGCAGTTGCCAACCCTTTTGCCAAACGTGACAACTACTGGCAAAATCCCTCTTTATGGGAAGGCCTATGTTCAGCAGTAGACAGTTAAGGGCTGATATAATAATAAATAATAGGTATCACAGTAATAGAGTGCGTAACAAAATGGCGGGAAGAACAAACAATGCCCACTATAAAGATCTTACCAGGCCTCGTCACTTCGAAAAATAAAAGTTTGTATGATATCTATGTAACCAGTTTACTAAATTTCAGAATTTTACACTATAAGTTAGCTTGATCATTAAAAATAGTTGTCAATATCGATATTTTACACAGAAACATGGTCATAAAATCGTAAAAATATTATTTTATTTTACGATGGTATGACTTTTGGACGGTTGCATAGATTCATTTTTTCGTGTCGACAATACAAAGAGAATGTCGACTCTTAAATAAAATGGTGAATATTTGCTCTATGAACTGAACGGGCAATGTCCGCCGAAAAGACCTCGTGTAAATTAATAACATGTGTGGGAGGCAGTCAATTCGATTTCTGAGTACCTACATCTTCCTACCATAGCAAAGTAAATAGATGACCTTTATTTTTTACAGATGTAATAGAATTCGCTTATCGCCCACGTAGAGAGTAACGTGAGATACGCTGTCTCGTTCTAATAAATATAATGACGGACGTATGTGGCATATTATGTTTTATTTATATCTGTACTAATATTTACTATTATATTATTACCCCTTAATTATAAACCCCTTAATTATATTAAAAAATTCTATAATTTGGCGTACAATACTTTAACGGTTTAAATAAAGGAATAAAATCTATAGCAAAAATATTCATTATATTTAGCTTTACACAAAAGTTCGCGACATCATATATCTAAGTCTAATATCTCAGCCGAAAAAAAGGTTTTTAAAATTGAAATAAATTTTACAAGATTAAGTTTTGGATACAGGTTTGTCGTATACATTACAAATTCTTATAAAAATAAATAGCAAAATCAAAATGGAAATTTTATAGAAATAAAGTTTACTGTTAACATCATATTAATTGATACAGTTGGTCAAAAGATATCGCGAAATAAAAACAATAGGCCGGTAAAATTATTGCGTAATCGCAGGCGTTGCCCGTGCGAGAATAGTAGACGAGGCACGTAGGTAAGATGCGCAGGAGTATATAAACGCGCGTACATAAAATTTCTAAATAGATCGTTCATTTTAAAATTTTAGAGATTATTAGTTTAGTACTTTCACACATGCTAAAATTACCAGAGAGAGACTTTGTACAAAAGTCGTTTGCACCTCTGTACCATTCGTGTTTCTACCGTGAAGCAATTGTGTTTGCATGGCTGTTTCGGTTTGAAGGGTGGGATATGGCAGTGAATTTACATGGTACAGAGAAATAACACCTGAGTCCTCAGGAATACCAACGCATGGGCGACGGTTACCACTTTCCATAATTTATATCGTCTATCTGTCCAGCACATATATCTACGTGTATACCAAATTTTATAATAAATTGTTGAGCTATTACGAAAGCGCCAAGAGATTACAAACAACCAAACTAACTTTTACATTCATAATATTAATACAGATTATAACGGTGTACGTGTAACAGTTAATCCAAAGTCTTAACCAAAGATTAATAACGTTAATAAATTTCCCAATACACAAGTCTTTTGTACTGCGTATCTAATAAATTGCCTGAATGCGGTGAAATCTAAAATTAATTGTTTCAACTTACCTGTAATTTTCCATCGACTTTACATAAAGGCAAGACAATTTCCAATCTCGTAGGTATCGACTAGAAAATCATCTGAGAGCTTTTCCTGGAAACCGGGAATTCATATTTAATTAGGGTTTCCTTGAAAATGACATATGGCAAATTAATGATACCACACGCGTTGTTCAATACAAGCTCCAGTTTGAAGTAATAAATTTTATATACTCTAACATATTATGTATTAAGATATATTGTTAGGATAAATTTAATTCAGAAAAATAGTTAAATTCTCATATATAATATAATAAGCCTCGACAATCGACGCGGAAGAAGAATTTCTTGAATGGCGACCCTTTACATGCAGTGTAGGACGACCCTCTATTTGATGAAATGACGATTTTAAATACATTGCGGGAAATCAGTGTATACAAGTGACTCAGGACTATTTCCTGTGGCAGTCTATGGGGGATATTTATGTTCAGCAGTGGACAGTTAATGGCTGATATATTGGTGATGATGATGGTGGTAGTGATGGTGTTCATAGGCTACGGTAACCACTTACCATCAGGTGGGCCGTATGCTTGTTTGCCACCTCAGTGGTATAAAAAAATCCTTATTACAAACTACAATTTGTTAATAACACAAACTTAGCCTAATGATGGTACACCTACAATAATATAATAATTTTGACATTGGCCTTTCCCTTAATATATTTCCTTCATCCTATAACCTCAGATCCTTGAAACGTAGCGTGAAAAGTACTTAATGAGCCAGCATAGTGCAGTCAGCCATTGAGCGTAAATAATTCTCTTTTCGGTTGATCTTATTCATGAATATCTCTGTGCTTGCTCAGAATGAAGTGGTCACATGTCGTGCTGTAATAAAAAAAATTGTTTGCCAATCTAAGTTGTATAAAAAAAAATTTAGTTACATTTAAAAACTTAAAATCTTTAACCAAATCATCTGACTGCTGTAATAATCATCATCATCATCATATCAGCCGTTATCTATTGCCGAAAATAGATTTCCTTCATAGATTGGCATAAGGATCCCGAGCCATCTACATTCACTACAATGCATTTGGGGTCGTCTCTCCATCTACTGGTGGATCGTGATAATAATGGACTAAAACTGTCTTATATAGTAGGGAGTTCAAGAACAGCAAGATATGTTCGTTTCTCGGAACATATAAATCTTAAAATAACATAAAATACGTAGTAAAAACTTCCATAACTCCCGGAATGTAAGTCTCAAGAGGTCTAAGTTACAAAATAAATCTTAAAAAGTGAAAGCCTCAAAATATCCATTTACAATTCTTTGTATCGATAAAAATAGAAAAAAAATGCTAAGATCTCTTATACATTAGAACAGAAAGTATTTATGTATTATATATATATATATATATATATATATATAATAGACAATAGATAAAAAAGTAGACAAGCATTAAAAAACGTAATTTTCTTTTAGAAAATTCAATAATAATATTTCGAATCAAGTTCAACTTACTGGAAATTATAAATTGGCATGTGCAAACATGTCAGTATTAAATTTGTACATCAGCTTTCACTCTCTTTGTTTAGCGTAACGATCGACTGCACCATGGAACTAGAAGGGGGAAGATTAAACCGAGCACCTGCCCCAGGCAACATTTTCAGGAGGAAGAGAGTTAAATTCACATTAAAATAATGCCACTCATTATATTTTGTAAATATAATAGGTGGCATTATATTTACATAATATAATAATTAAATTTATATGCAGGGAGGCAATGGATGAAGGTGGCTTACGACCGTTCTTTGTGTTAGTTTATGGCCTCCTCCATATTCAACAGTGGACAAATAATGATGATGATGATTATATATATAAGCATTTTTAGCAATTAATCTCAAACACTGGAG